CTCGGTGTGCGACGTGGAGATCCGGAGGAATGAGATCCGGGCAAGTACCCTGCGCGCGCGCGCGCGCGAACACACACACACTCTTACACACACGCGCACACACACACACCCTCTCGCCTGGGAACCACCCATCCTGACAGGCTGACTCTTGTGACAGCAGGCTAGGCCCCCTACCAAACTCTTCTCTGAAAGTTTGGGGGTAAGGGCCTTCAAGAAAGGTTCCAGATCCCTGCTGGGTACATTCCCCGAGCCGATGCTCCTAGGGTCCATCTTGCAATTCCTTTACGGAATTGGGGGGTGGGTGCTGTAAAAGGTAGAGTTTGGGTGTCGCTTTTCTGTTTTGCGCAGCTCCTCCCCCAGCGTTGTTTCAGTAAGCCCTACGGGAAGTCACCAAGGCAGTGACCCCGGTCCTGCTTCTCCAGCTGCTGTTTATGTAATGAGCGTCCTGGTGCCGCTGCTGTGGCTGACATGATCCATGATGCTGGCATACCAATGAGGAAGTAAACAAAAGCAGCCATGTTAGTTTTAAGCTCTATTGGAAACACATTGGGGAGTGGGGGGAGCTTCCGGAGGGGGAGCAGAACTCCAGGTATCTATCTGATCAAGGCCTGGACAGCCAGAGGAGGCACCCTACAGTGCCTCTGTTATGCGTGTTAGTCCCAGTAGCTTCCTCCTGTGTGCGAGAAGCTGCTCTGTGTTGTCCGCGCCTGCATGAACAAACCTTAAAGTATGTGTCTTCATCACTCYGAGCCCTTTCCTCCCAGCCCAGCCCACTTGCACAGCCCTCCCACATGTGGGGGGGCTGGGGGGGAGAGACGGAAAAAGAATCCTGTGGGTTTAAGGTTGAGCCGCCTTGAAATCTGGTTTCAGGCAGCTGGCTCCCCTGGGCTGCCGGCTTGGTGATTATGGAACCGCACCCCCCTCCCATTGTATACACCCTGCAGCAGCGGCCAATGTCAAAATTGCCTTCCCTCCCAGGCCTCTGGCAGGGTTTGGAAGCTGGTCTGAGGCAATACTTCCGTCCCCTTCGCTGAAGGGGACTCCTCCTAGGTCCCTCCCCAGTCCCCTGGCTCTCAAGGGTTGAGTCACACCAGAAGGAAGGGGTTGTCCTAAGACTGACTGGGCCATCACTGAAGCTCCAGCTTGGGGCCTGGGTGTGATATCACTTTGATAGGACTAGGCTCCAATAGAACTGGGAGTGTTTATGGGTGGGGGCCCCTGGAGGCTAGTGGAGGCGAGTGGGGAGCTTGGTATGAGGAAGCTCAAGCAGGTCAAGGTTGTAGATGGGGGCTGTTTCCTGTGTGGGGGGGTACTACTCACAATGAGTCACTATTTAACAATCAAAAAACATAGKTATACAACCAACAAAAGGCAGGAGGGCCACCGCAGGCAAAGGGCGGAATAACAAATTTGCTGTATAATTAGTTTGCAATCCGATGGGCTATAGCCCTGGGGTTTTGTGCCAGGACAGGCTTCTGGTTTCTTAAAGGAAGTGTGGGGGATGGAGAAAGGAGCCACTCCCTCTCCTCCACCCCCCATGGTTGGAAAAGACCGAGGCCTGGGGGAAGTGGAGAAGCTGGGAACCTGGTTGTCCTCCACCCGGACTTACAACTTGTGCAGTGTGGGTTGTGCAGTCACAACCCACACTTTTCGCCAGTATTGGGAAGCTGCTGCTATTAATAAAGATAGCAGGGCTGAGGAGAGGGGGCTGGGAAAGTGCAGAGGCTAGAGAAAGGAGGGCTGGCCAGTACTTGTCCTGGGATTGGCAGCGGAAAGTAAGGAGGGGAAAGAAGGAGAGGTGGTTGAAAGGAACAGGGAGGGGCAGCACCCAGGGTATTGAGTGTATGTGTGCCTGCACCTGTGAGACTGCTATAGTGGGCTATAGAGTGCCAGGGAGACTTTTAGTTAGGGTGGGGAGAAAACTTCATTATACTTGACTTGGTGATGGGCAAATATCCTTAGTCTGCCTAAATTTGCCTTTAAATGGATCTGTCTCTTGCCTGTAGCTTTGGGGGGACAAGGGTGGCACTTGCTTGCAGTGTGTACCCTGGGGTTTCCACCAACAGACCACTGATCTGGAAGACTTGATAGATGGAAGCAGACACTGAACTTTGTCAGCAGCTCTGTGAGTGTGTGTGTGCGCGTGTGTGTTTGTGCATGGTGTGGGCAGGCTCAGAAGTAGTGGGTTGCATCAGGTCCAGATGTGTAATTTTGTTCYATCAGCATCTGTGCCCAGCAGTCTGAGTCTCATCCTCCTCCAGGCTCCCCCTCCACTCCATTCTCTCCAGTGCCCCAGGGCACTAGGGTTAGAGATCCTTCAATAGTTCAGTGTCACTCAAGTGTGAGTTTGACTTACTGAAAGTGGAGGAATAGGAGCCCCGCCCTGGTTGGGTGGTGAACCACGAGGAAGCTGAATAGAAGAACCTTGTCCCTGTCAGTCATCTGTCTCCCACCCCACCCAAAGTCAGGGAGAGAGTCCTTTGCCTTGGTCCCTTGTCCTTCCTCTCCTACCCTGTGGGTGGGGGGTCCTGCTAACATGGCAGATCAATTGACTAGAAATAGGAAACCCTGGTTGTCTCACCTCACATACTCATGCACCCACTTGTACACTTGGGCCAGTGATGGGGGTTGGGTGGAGCAGCAGAAAGGCAAGCATGGCCTCCAGGGCCTGGAAAACTTGAGGGGGACTCAGTCAACCTTTTCAAGTCAGGTCATTGCCCCACTCTGCCCTTGGGGAAAAAAAAAAGCCAGTGTTCCCTGCCTCATTGCCCTGAAGCCTGGATTCCCACTGACTGGGCCTCAGAACTATTCTCCAGGACTTACCTAAACCCTCAATGTTTTCCATAGACTGGGGGAGGGAAGCTAAGACCCCAAGATTGATACATTTAGGTGGACTCAGGCCTGGCCACTCTGAGTGGACAATCCATTTTGGCCCCCAGGTTCAGGGATTCATCTGAGTAACCAGGGACTGGTGGGTGTTGAAAACACCCCTATGACCTCCCTTAACATGTAAGGGACCCCAAAGAAGGCCTAGTTGGCGGGAGCGCTCTGCAGAGGCATGTGTGTACATACATTTTCATCTTTGCCTGCTTGAGCATATGCATTCATAGTGTGCTTCTGTGTCATCCCTAGGACCCCAGATCAAGGCTAGAAATGTTGCCAGGACCCTGTTCCTTGCATTCTTCCAGGTGCAGAGTTGAGAAGAGGTGTTCTCTGGGGAGGGGATCTCACCACTTGGGCCAGTTTGGGGTTTGCAACTCATTAGGGTGAGAGCACCCTGTTCACAATGCCTGTTCTGGACTGGGTACTCTGGAAGGAGTCCTGGGTCTCTGCCTCTGTGTGCCCATCTCTGGGTAGGCTGTGGGAGTGAGAGTTGCTGGGGCTGGGGCTGGGCCTGCAGCCTGACTCTGGCAGTGCCAACTCACTGCTCCCTCTGCCCACAGCATACAGACTTCTGAGATCTTAGGTGGGGTGGAGAGACAGGGTGTGTCTGTGTCTGAACCTGAATGTAATGTGAGGGTCATGTTGTGCCCTTTCCTTGACCATCCAGAGTCTTTGTGGAAGCAGGGGACTGGCTTGGCCTTCCTCTCTTGTTCTAAGAGGAGCCTTAGGCAGAGGCCCAGCCCCCCACCTCTACCCTAGGATCCTGCTGACACAGCGGGGCGCCTGTCATGTACGCCCTATTGATTACTCTGCCTCCTGCAGCTCTGGGAGGTTGTGCTTCCACATCTGCAGGTGTGTGTGTGTGTGTGTGTGTGTGTGTGTGTGTGTGTGTGTAGCCTGCACAGCACTTCTGTATATTTTACGTGTAACTAATTTTTTTTTCTGTCCCATGGGTATCTATGAGAAGGGACAATGTGGTTGACTTAATTTTGCAGTAGTTTCATGTGTGGTGGTGAGGTCAGGAAGGTTGTGTGTGTGTGTGCGCGTGCATACACACATGCATGCACCATGCTGGCTGTACATCTTTGAGCTGAAGTTGAGTGTGTGTTTCCCTGTTGTCAGCATGACTGCTGGTGTGAGTGCTTGCTCAGGTGATCTGATGGCTGTGAGTCTGTCAGGAGCTTGAGACTTTCTTGCCTGGTTGGGATGAGGGTGAGCTGTTGCATCTGGCAGGTGTTGGTAGGTGAATGGATCCTGCAGTGCTGTCCTGGGGGAGCTGGGCCCCTGCCCTGGGCTGAGTAGTCTAGCCTGGCTGGCCTCATCCCTGGCTCTGGGAAAGCCTTCCTCCCAGGCTGGCCTGGCATTCAGACCCAGACAAAGGGGGGCTTTCTCTCTCGCCTCTTTGTTCTGCTGCCCCAGAGCTCTGCTCCCTGCATGGCAAAAGCTAATTCCACTCCGCAGCTGGGAAGCCTTCTGGGGTCTATGAGGCTTGCCTCTGAGGTGCCTTCTCCTTGCCCTGGCTTCTGCCCTGTCACCTCTTCTCTCTGTGGGTCTGTAGTTTTCCCCAGTCTGGGAGATCACATGGTAGCTCGAGGCAGGGGCTGAGGCTGTGCAAGCAGGGGCTAGGGCCAGGCCGGCAGAAGCTTTTTAGAGAGGAGAGTGCTCCAGGGAGTGAGGAGGCTCCTGCACTCTGGGGGAACAGAGGTGGTAGAGGAGCAGGGCTTGGCAACTGGGGAGGAAGTTAAGATGGGACAGCTCTGAGCAGTGGGTAGAACCTGAGCTGGAAGAAGTGCTCAGCAGTCCAGCCCCCTTCTTTCCCCTTCTCATCTGCTCTACCCCCACCACAGGGTCTGCTGGAGCCAGCTCCCCTTCTCTGCAAACCTAGGGCCTGCCTCTGCCCCAGCCTGGGGGCATTTCCTCTTGACCTTGCTTCTCTTCAAGGTTGACCTGAGGTTTTATTATTATTATTTATTAACTTTTATACAGCCCATAGTCCCCATGCCTTGCCTATCTGCCCAGTCTAGTCTGACAGCAAAAATGCCAGCAGGGCATGGCTCCTCTGGCCTGAGGCTTTCCCAGCTGTTGAGATGTAGGGGCTCAGGATTCACCCTCTCTAAGCTGGGAAGGGAATCTGAGGCAGCAGCTCAAAGATCAGTCCTTTGGGAACTTACCTGAGGAACAGGGTATCCAGGTGCCATGAAGGGATAGTACTAGAGCATCCCAAGTCTTCATTCTTCTGTTCTCACAGGCCTAGGCACCAACCCCAGAAGGCCTGAGGCCCTAAAGTTCAGGGACAGGGATGAGCAGGTCCCACCTGGGCCAGGGGCTGCTGAGTGGGATTGCATCACACATATTCCTCCTTTAGAGGCCTGGTCCCTTGAGTTCTACTAGACTAGATCAYGGTTCCCACTCCCACATACTTTTTGTTTTAAGACAGGGTTTTGCTGAATTGCTGAGGATTTCTCTAAGTTGCCGAGGCTGGCCTTGAACTTGCAGTACTCCTGCCTCAGCCTCCTGAGTCACAGGAATTATAGGTGTGCACCACCATGCCCAGCCCACTCCCACAAACCTGAAGTGTGCCTCAGTCCAGGCAGGCCCCTGTGGGGTGGGAGCATTTTGTAAAGTGCTTCACCTCTACCCTCGCCTCTGCATTGGGAGGCCTTGCTCTGCACCTCAGCTGTGGGGCTTTTCAGGTGGGAAACTGGGATATGGGATTCCCTGAAGATGCTGGTAAGGTTGGAATGAAAAGAAGGCTGCTGGAGGTGGGGAGAAGTACAGGTCTTGCTTCCCAGGCTGCCTCTCTGTTCGCCACCTGCCTCAACCACCTGGGTGGCTGGGATTATAGGTCTGCACCACCAAGGCCAGCTTGTTCTCCAGCATCTGGCCAACCTGATTCTATCATTTGGTAGAACTAGAATAGAGGGTGAAAATGGGGCACAGSTGGGTATTCCTCCTTCCTCCTGTGCTAGAGGCAGCAGTACCTCCGTCCTCCCAGGTATCCCTAGCAGGATTAAGATCACCTGGCCCTGAGAGAAGGTAGGCCCCAAAGCAGGAGGGGAAGGGAGTAGGCGGCTTTCAGCACTCCCTGGCTGACTACTGTCTCTGGCACCAGTGTCCTTCTCCTTCTTGCACTCAGTAGAGACACAAGCCCAGTGGCCTCTGATGTGGTTCAGGGGAAATGAGACCCATCCACCAGCTAGGGGGCATTGCCACTGCCTTTGCTAGGCCTGGGCTGGACTTCCCTTCTCTTCCCCCTTCAGAGGGTCCTGAGACCCTGACACTAAGCAGAGATATTCCATAGGATCCAGGGTAGAAGTGCTGCCAGGGAGACTCTGGAATTATAGAGGAAGAAGGAAGGGGCTAAGTTTTACCCCCATCCCCTAGTGGACAGGAGGCAGCTCCTTCCCTCTCTGGGAAGGAACTCCTGGAGGGGGATGGGGAAAGGGCTCCCACTTACCTGTAGGGTGGGAGTGGAGCAGCCCCATTTCTATCCTCCCAGGGAAATTGKGCTGGGAACCTAGAGCTGCCTCTTTCTTACCCCTCACCTGAACCCCCTAATCTGTTACTTATAGGTTTGRTCATTAAGAAGTAGTTGAGTAGGGAGACCACGATACAAGGTGTGTGGAGTAAGTAGGGATCTGGATTGTCACATATCCTGGGTACTGAGACAGTAAGAGTGGCCTAAACTCTGAGGTGCACCTGGGGGACCATGGGTATAGGGCAGCCAGCAGACAAGAGTGTGAGGCCCGTTGTTACAGTGTAGGCAAGTAGGCCTAATGTTTCTGAAGGAGCACCCTGGCTGCTTTGTCTTTATGACAGGCCCTCTCCATTGTTTGGGGCCTCCAGGAGGCCCAGCCTTTGCTGTGCAGTAGATTGGGTGAAGGTGTAAGCATGAAGGGCTCCCAGGTGGCGATGTATGCTGGTATGTGCATGAGTGCATGTGTGCCTCTCTGTCCCTGCCCTCACCCAAGCTGTTTTTATTATCAGTCTGTCCCCTAGGCTGACAGCAGATCCCTGTGTGTTGAGCCTGGGTGAGGGACTTGCCAAAAAGGAAGGGCTCCTGAGTCATATTCTTAGAGGTTCTGTGCTATTGCCATTGAAAGGCAGAGCCAGTTAGGGGAGAGCCATAGGCTTCCCCAGCTGAGAACAAGAGCCTCGACACCTCCTGTACCCCACATCCCTGTGCTTGTTTCTAGGGTAGCTATCTATACAAAGTGGGGTGTGACTGAAGTGTCTCCATGACCTTGGTTTTTCCACATGGAAAAGGGGTTGGGGGCATGAGGAAGGGTTTGTTGGCAGCTTGTCTTTTTATATATATATATATATATATATATATATATATATTTTTTTTTTTTTTAGATGTTAATGGACCTTTTATTCATTTATTTATATGTGGTGCTGAGGATCGAACCCAGTGCCTCACATATGCTAGGCAAGCACTCTACCACTGAGCCACAACCCTAGCCCCTGGTAGCTTGTCTGTGAAGCCAACTGGATGCGATGGAGAGTGCAGGAGTCATGGGGTAAAACTCAAGGGTTACTCTGAGGCCCCCACAGAGGAAAAAAGAGAGTTGCTTCTTGTTGAGTGGTCATCACTGTGAGTGAGGGCAATTGCTCAGAGCTGCATGGCAAATCTTACTTTGTGTGCAAAACCCCTGGGTTTATTCAGTAAATATGTCCTGCATTTACAGAGTGGTATTCAGGCCTTTCTGAGGCCTGGCTATGAAGGCAGGTAAGAAAGAGCAGTGATGYCCTGTTCTTAAGAGGCTGTGAGTCTTGTAAAGTAGCCACATGTAACTAGTGGCAACTTTGCTATACAGTACAGTTATAGAGGCAGGGGAAGGGGAGCGGGTGACAGCCCTACTACATGACCAGGACAGGGAAGGACCTACAAAAAGTCAGAGCAGCGAGCACAGAAAGATTCCCAGAATTGGTCCTTGAAGGAGAGAGGAGATGCTGTGGGTACAGAAAAATATAAACAGAATTCAGGGGGGCTGGAGATGTGGCTCAGCGGTAGCGCGCTTGCCTGGCATGCATGCGGCCCGGGTTCGATCCTCAGCACCACATACCAACAAAGATGTTGTGTCCGCCGAGAACTAAAAAATAAATATTTAAAAAAATTCTCTCTCTTTCTCTCTCTCTCTCTCTCTCTCTCTCTCTCTCTCTCTCTCTCACTCTCTCACTCTCTCTTAAAAAATAAAAAATAAAAAATAAAATAAACAGAATTCAGGGAGCTAAAGTGTAAGAGTGTTCGGGACAGGATGTCAGCTCACCTGGCTGAAAGAGTCTTCATTAGCTTGCCAAAGTATTTGAAAGGAGAGGTCCTTGAGGGTTCTTGAGCAAGGGTTTGAAAAGGCATGTGGTGGGACAGGAAGGGGAGGATTGTGAACRTCAGAAATTAAGAGCTTCAGTCTTAGGAGCCGTGGTCTCCTTTCTGTCTGGATMCCACTGGGGCTGAGGGAACTGGCAGGGACTCCAGAGGTCTCGTTCTCAGGCTCCAGAGCAAGGGAGGGAGGCTGGCGCCATGACCTCTAGGGCCTGTGTAAGGTGAGGTCTTTGGACTGACCAGAGGAGTCCTGCATGACCTCAGAAAGGCTATTTGATCCCCTGCATCTCAGGATACTCACCTGTAAGATGGTGCTCCCCAGAGAGAGGTGGCTTGGCTAGAATAAGAACAGACCCTGCTGCCAGAGCACCTAGGCTGTGCCACTTATTGGCTGTATGATTTTGGACAAATACTTAACTTCTTTGGGCCTTGATTTCCTCTTCTGTGAAATGAGGGTCATAATAGCACTTACCTCCTAGCATGGTTGGTATGATTAGATAAGTAAAAGTGCTGTCCGCAGCCTGCCTTCAGAAAGCTCAGGGTTTAACTATGTGTTGCTATTGCAGGTTTCCCCTTGCTGGTCATGGGCTGGGCCCCACAGGGCTTTGTGAGCACTGGGAAGGGCTGGCTGCCAGAGGTTTTAGGCCTTTCTGAGTTCATTGTACAGAGAGAAGGATAGTGCTTAGCCACCCTTGGTAACGGTTGGAGTGACAGCCCCTCTGATGTCTCTACCCCAAATATCCCTGCAGAAGATGCTGATGAAGCAGCAAGACCGGCTGGAGGAGCGAGAGCAAGACATTGAGGACCAGCTGTACAAGCTTGAGTCAGACAAGCGCCTGGTGGAGGTAGCAAAGCTGGAGCTGGGATGGTGGCTGGGGGTAGCACATACTCAGGATCTGGGGCAAGTTCCTTATGTAGGGCATGTTGGGTGACTCTGTGCCTGAGACCTACTGTTTCGTGGGTGGCTGGTACAAAGCTCAGTGATGCCAGTGGGGAGTTGGCAGGTTGGACCTTACCATTGGGATCCAAGGGTCTTGCTGTCCCAGTACTCACCTGGCTCCCTACTCTTGTTCCCACCCCACAGGAGAAAGTGAGCCAGCTGAAGGAGGAGGTGCGGCTGCAGTATGAGAAGCTGCACCAGCTGCTGGATGAGGACCTGCGGCAAACAGTAGAGGTGCTGGACAAGGCCCAGGCCAAGTTCTGCAGCGAGAACGCGGCGCAGGCGCTGCACCTCGGGGAGCGCATGCAGGAGGCCAAGAAGCTGCTGGGCTCCCTGCAGCTGCTCTTCGATAAGACAGAGGATGTCAGCTTCATGAAGGTGGGCTGCTGGAAGCCAGGTCTCCTCACAAACGGGTTTGCAAATTTCTGCTCCCCCAACCTGTCCTCCAAGTATTTTCACATACCCCTGCCTCTGGAGTCAGGCTGCCTGTTTGTTCTTCCAGCTTTGTGACACTGGGTTCAACAAAGGTCATAAATGAGGGAACAAGGTACAGGGAGTGTTTGCACCTTATTCCCTCACCTATGAAATGAAGCTAAAAATACAAGTCCTCAATCCAGGCGTCGTAGTGCATGTCTATAATCCCATCGGCTCCGGAGGCTGAGGCAGGAAGATCATGAGTTCAAAGCCAGCCTCAGCAATGGTGAGGTGCTTAGCAGCTCAGGGAGACCTAGCCCCTACGTAAAATACAAAATAGGGCTGGGATGCGGTGCAGTGGCCAAGTGCCCCTGAGTTCAATCCCTAGTACCACCCTCAGCCCCCCAAAAAAATAGACTAGAACTACTGTTGGGCAGTTTGTGGCCTTTCTGTATATCATTTGGTATGAAAATTCAACTGTTTAGGACTGGAGCTGGAGCTCAGCGGTAGAGCACTTGCCTGGCATGTATGAGGCACTGGGTTTGATCCTCAGCACCACATATAAACAAATAAATAAATAAAGATCCATCAATAACTAATAAAAGTATTTTAAAAAACAACCATTTTGCTGCAGAAGTGTCAGTGGATTGGATTGTGGTGTCCTGTTGGGGTAATATGTAATATATGATTCGGGCACCATTTTCCTTCTAAAATCCCAAATACTCCAAATTCAACATCTGGCCCCAGAAACTTTAGATAAAAGGTCAAAGGCTTRTGGAGGCCACCTTGTAGAGATGAAATAATGGATGTATAGAAAGCCCTTATAATGGCATAGATCACATAGCAAGTGCTCAATAAATGTAGCTTTTTTTTTTTTTTTTTTTTTTTTTGCAAGAGAGTGGAAAGGTACCAGGGATTGAACTCAGGGACACTCAACCACTAAACATCCCCAGCTCTGTTTTGTATTTTATCAGAGACAGATCTCACTGAGTTGCTTCCACCCCACTAAATTGATGAGGCTGACTTTAAACTCATGATCCTCCTTCCTCAGCCTCCCGAGCTGCCGGGATTATAAGGCCTGGGCCACCATACCTGGCCTAAATGTAGCTTTTTTATCTCCAAAAATGGTGACACTCCCCATGCTACACCCTGCCTGGTGAAAGGGAGAGGGGGGCAGTTTCTGCCTTGCCTTTTCCACTGACTGACCCTATTCTCTCCCTCTAGAACACCAAGTCTGTGAAAATCCTAATGGACAGGTGAGTGGATGGCCCCTGGCCCTAAAGGAAACACATCTGGGGGAGGACAAGGAGGGCCAGGCCCACAGGGGGGAGGTAGGGCGGGCTCAGCGATGATACCTCCTCACAGCAGATGCCCCGTCCACTGCCCCCAGGACCCAGACCTGCACGGGCAGCAGTCTTTCTCCCCCTAAGATCGGCCACCTGAACTCCAAGCTCTTCCTGAACGAGGTGGCCAAGAAGGAGAAGCAGCTGCGGAAGATGCTAGAAGGTGAGGGTGAGGTCCTCCTTTGAAGGGAGAGAGCCCTTTGGGCAGGGGTAAATGCCACAGCCAGTGTGGTCTAGGTAGATAGACCTTTYTTCATATCCTGGCTTGGCCACTTTTTCTACCTGTGGGACCTTGGGCAAGTGACCTGAGCCTCAGTTTCTTTAACTGGAAAATGAGAATACTAGTAGTCTGTACCTCCTAACGGAGAAGCCAGCTTGGAGGAAGATGTTACATGTTTGATCCCACAGATGTACAAGGTCCCCAGGGGAAAGGAGACCTGGGTTGCTTGGGCTGGGAGCTTTGGCGACTTTTGCCCCAAACTCTCCACAGGGCCTTTCAGCACACCGGTGCCCTTCCTGCAGAGCGTCCCTCTGTATCCTTGTGGCGTGAGCAGCTCTGGGGCGGAAAAGCGCAAGCACTCGGCGGCCTTCCCCGAGGCCAGTTTCCTAGAGACGCCATCCGGCCCTGTGGGCGGCCAGTACGGGGCAGCAGGCACAGCCAGCGGCGAGGGCCAGTCTGGGCAGCCCCTAGGGCCCTGCAGTTCTACGCAGCACTTGGTGGCTCTGCCGGGTGGTGCCCAGCCAGTGCACTCGAGTCCCGTGTTCCCCCCATCGCAGTATCCCAATGGCTCCGCCGCCCAGCAGCCCATGCTCCCCCAGTATGGCGGCCGCAAGATTCTCGTCTGTTCTGTGGACAATTGTTACTGTTCTTCCGTGGCCAACCATGGCGGCCACCAGCCCTACCCCCGCTCCGGCCACTTCCCCTGGACAGTGCCCTCACAGGAGTACTCACACCCGCTTCCGCCCACACCCTCCGTCCCCCAGTCCCTTCCAGGCCTGGCGGTCAGAGACTGGCTCGACGCCTCCCAGCAGCCAGGCCACCAGGATTTCTACAGGGTGTATGGGCAGCCGTCCACCAAACACTACGTGACGAGCTAACGCCACGCAGGCTGGGCGCTGGGGACCCTTCCCCCCAACCCCGATGGCTCCGGAATTATGCACCCAGAGACCTGCCCTTCTCTACCTTTCTCTCCCTTTCTTGTTCCATTCCCCCAGGTCTTTTCTTTCCTTTTGGATTTTATTTTGTTTGGGGCTTTGTTTTTGATTTTTTTTTTTTTTTTTTTTAATGAATCTCCTGGATGGAGGCAACAGTGGGAGCTGGCATTGGTTGGGCCACAGGTGGCCCTGGAGTTGAGAAAGTGTCTCTTAAGGCGCTGAGTTCTCTGTCTCTTTTTTCTTCCACTTCCTCCCCTTCATACCCCCAGGCTGGAAGGACCCTCAGTTTCCCCTAAAGCCTTGGGGGATCCAGTTTTCCTCACTCTTCCTGGGAAGAAGGCCCATTGCCCACAGRCCTGTTTCTCTTCCCTCTGTATTTTCTTTGGGGCCATTCAATCACTGATGGAGTAAGGAATGACCTATAGATTGTGGGACTTTTTGTTTTGTTTTTTAAATTTTTTTAAACCAAGAATGATTTCTCCTGCTTCCTTCTCCTCACCATCTTCCCGACGGAGTTCAAAGGCCACTTCTCAAGCAGCTTTTGGCACCTTCAGCCTCAGAGTGGAATCTTTTAAAGACAGGAGCCCCATGTCCAGGAAAGGGGAAAAGGAACTTTGCCAATGATAGTGACCACAGCAAAAGCAAATAATAATAATATTAATAATAATAAAAGAGAAATAAATAATAAAATAAAAAACAATAGCACAGCTCTTGTCAAGGTCAGTGGAGGAGGAGGGGCTGCCCCAATGGGTCCTTGCCTGGATTTTGACACAGCAACTTCCTGTAGTGAGCACTTTGTATGAATCTTGGACTTCCTGTTCTCAAGGCGCAGGTATTTATTCTGTAATCTGTCTAGAGCACACACCGAAATTCAACCTTCTAATAAACATGATGGCGCAGTCCTGCTCCCTGCCTTGCCTCTTACCCACCATCACCCTCTAGGCCTGGGATCATCAGGCATTGGTGTGAGGAGGGGCTGGGCAAAAATCCCTGTCCTCCTTCCCTGGATTCTCTCCTCCTGGGTCTAGAGGATTCCGGCCTGTGAATGTCAGTTTCTCAAGCGCTGACTAACTAACCACGTCTACTCTTGACCTTGGGTTCATTTGACAAATATTTGCCAAAGGCCTCCCAGGCCCGGCCYCATGCTACATGGGTCCTGGCATCTCTTTGAGGTTCTGCCAGTGTGCTTTTAACAAGGACAGATGAAGGAGAAATACCTAAGAGTCTTGAAAAGTTTACCTCTTTTGGTCTACAAATATTTATTGAGCACATARTATGTGTCAGGCACTGTACATGGCTGTAAGCTTAGAGGCAGAACAGACCTTGTCCTTGGAACTGATCTAGCTGGGCCTGGGACCCTATAGGGAAAGGAACCATTGACAGATTTCCTTGAAGTCCAAATTGAGAGCCCAGGAGTTTGCATTCCTGACTTCTGGTGATTACGATGCACCCTGGGGTTTGAGAAGTGCTGCCAAGAGTGGCTGGCTAGGGTCCTTCCTGTTGCATGTCACTGGGACCCCTGGGGTATAGAGTGGTAGAACACCAAGGCCCTTCCATATTAGTAGGAGTTGCAACCTTTGAAGGTTTCTAACTCTCCCCTTGTCTGGGTAGAACCAGGAAGGCTAGGGGAGCCTGTCCTGTGGTCTAAGCCTTGCTAGCCCCTAGTCACCCCTCCTTTCAGAAGAATAAAGGACCAGGTGGGAAGAGATGGTCAGGGCCTGCCCCCTGGTCTGTTGGTCTGACTAAATCAAACCAGAGGCTGGACCCCTGCTTTCCTTGTTACCCCATCTCAGTTTTACAGTCAGCCAGAACCAGAAGCTGAGCCCGATGACAATAGCTGGCTTCGCCTTTCTCAGCCCTTGCACCTGTTTGGGGCTAAAGGGAATGGGCAGGTGGCTGGAGCCCAGGGTGGAAGGATGCCTGGGGGCAGGTGCTGGTGGACACACAGGCATTGACTCACACATGCTCCTGTCTCACTGCCCCCCGCCCCCAGCCCTCAACATCCCCCATGCCAGGAGTTGGGAGCCAAAACAGAAAGCTGCCCAACTTCTTTCCCACTTGGCCTAGTTTTGTTTTGGCAGATGGGAGGGGTCCTTTCTCTAGGCACATCAATCAGGGTGGGATGGGCTCCAACCCCTCTCACCCACCACCTTCCAGCCCACCCCAGTCAATTACTCAGGCACACAGCTGGAAGCGAGGCCACTGACTTGGGCAGCCAGGGAAGCCGGCAAATGCTAACCCCATCCAGCTGTCCCCAGCTACCCAGCTGTCCCTGGCTTTGTAGGAGCAGCTGTCGCCCACCTCCCAAAAGAGTCGGGTAGAGGAGGCCTAGAAAAAGCTGGAGTTGCCCCAGGATACAGGCCCACTCGGGAAGGCAGCCAAAGAGCCTTCCCTTCGCTGACSCAGGCGGAGGGCTCCGATCCCCTGCGTCCCCCGCACACCGCACACCAGCTAGCCGGGCCCTCCCGCCAGCGCATCCTCCGCTTCCTCTGAAAGGTCATCGAGCCTCCCCTTTTCCGGGAAGGGCTGGGGAGTCGACCGCCTCTCCCCGCCCCTCAGACCTGGGGCAATGGCTCCTGTAGCCCAGATGTGCGGAACCCGCTAGGAGGCCACCTCCAGGGGTTTCCTCCTGCCACCCCCGCGGCCCGCTCTTTCATGTCGCGGCCCTCCCCAGGCCCAGCCTGCAGCCAGCAGCTGGACCCGCTCCCGCCCCGTCCCTCAGCCTCTCTCCCAGCTGTCTTTGGGGTGGGGCCGGGCAGCTGGGGAACAGCTGCAAGGCCGGGGGCGGGGGCCCTGCAACTGCCGGAAACAGTACCCGCGCCCAGGGGAGGCCGGAGGAAGGGCGAGGCCTGGGGGACAGTGGGATCTTCCGCCTCCTGGCCCAGCGCTTCTGACCTGGGAGATCCCAGATGAAAGCCCCCTCCGAGGTTCAGAGGGCACCGCAGGGGCGGGAACCCAGGGCAGCCCTGGCCCTCCGCTGAGTCAGCACCCAAGTCCCCTCGCTGCAACATTCTAACCTCTCTTTAGGGTTCTTCCCAGGCCTGTTGGCACCCCCCCACTCATCCAGTCATTGTCATCATGCCCCACCTCAGACACCTTCTCTTCCGTCTGACGGTGGGGGAAGCAGCGATTAGCAACTTCAGGACCGCACCCAGTCCCCTGGGAATTCCCTACCCCACCTCTGCATCCTGTAAACTGTGGGGGTCTGTTGGGCTGGTTAAATCAAACCAGAGTCCGATGCCCCTACACTCTTGAAGTAGATGGTCCCAGGTCAGCATCTGGGACCTGGCCTTCCCTAAAGAACTCCCTGAATACAAATAGAGGTCAGCGGGCGACAATGTGAAGGGAGACTGAACAGGGATTCTCAGGTTTCCTCTGGCAAACCTTACAACCTTTTATCCCCTCTTGTTAAGTGAGAGTCTCTCTCTGGTTTTTAAGAGCTCCTCCTTGGAATTGCTTTAGAAACAGTGACCTTCGAAGCTGGAATCCTGGTACTGGTTCTAGAATACCTTCTTTGAGTTAAGGAGGCCAAGAGTGAAATATTGGGCATTTTTAGATCACTTCTGCCCTATACTCGGTGCAGAAATGCTGGGGCGAGGGCTAAGATTCTAGAATTTTCTTTGGAGGCTTGGGGTTAGAGATRGGAAACAGACAAGGGTGTAGAGCAGAGGTAGCTACAGTTGAGGGGTGAGAAGGGATAGCCCTAGACTAGGAAGGGGGCTTGCTCCAAGAACATTCATTTCTTCCTTCAGCTTCTTTCTCCAATGCTCTACCTTCCATTGCCACCCAAAAGCCTTTCTTTCCCCCCAGGGCAAGTTGTATTGTCTCCACCAGAATTCCTTCAGTGACAGCTAGCAGTCAGTCCCAAGACRTCTTTTCCACAGTGTAAGTTCCAAATAACAAGTAGAAGTCAGATGAATAGCGCTCTCATGAGTGAGGGAAGCCTTCAGAGCCCAGGCTGCTTCCTTGAACATCTTCTGGCCCTGGCACTTAGGATGCAAGGACCTAGCTATGGGCTTTTTCTGGAGTTCTGCGCTGAGGGTCTTTGAATGTTTTCTCCATGGGAGGCCAGTTTTCTTTAATTGCTGTGTGGATAATTTCTCTCAGCTGCAGCAAACTGGGATATTTATGACTTCTCCTTGCACTAGATCTTCAGTAATTGGGTCTTCCTTGAGAGAGGACCCATCTGCTCAGGGCCTTGGATTCTTTTCTGTTTCCTTTTTTTTTTTGTTTGTTTTTCCCTTTGGTGGATCTGGGGATTAGACCTGTGGCCTCACACACACCAGGAAGCCGCAGTCTTATTTTTCTTTAATTTTTTTCCTTTCTTTCTTTCTTTCTTTTTTTTTTTTTTTCTAGTTGTAGATGGACACAATACCTTTATTTTACTTATTCGTTTCTATGTGGTGCTGAGGTTTGAACCCAGTGCCTTTTATGTGCCAGGCAAGCACTTTACCACTCAGCCACAACCCCAGTGGCCCGGTCCTATTTTTCATTACTTACATTGAGGCAAGAAGGGGGAGATATATGGGACAGTGTGCAGCTTATAGAATGGGGGGTTAGGGTGGCATAGGTAACATCTCAGAATTGCAGGTCAGAAGTGGAATGTGGGCTGGAGATATGGCTCAGTGGCAGAGTACTTGCCTAGCATTTAACGAGGTGCTGGGTTCAATCCCAGCATCACCACCCACCAAAATAAGTTAATAATAATAATAATGGAATGGGGAAGAGTTTCCAAGAACTGAGTGGTGAGGGTGGTGTGGACTTCTGGTCCTCTTGGAAAAAAAAATGGCAGTGAATCATTTTTAACATATGGATGGTCTGGCTGCCTAGTTGTGAATCAAATGTTACAGGGCTGAAGTTGTGGCTCAGTGGTAGAGCACTCACCTAGCGTGAATGAGGCACTGGGTTCAATCCTCAGTACCACATAAAAATAAAGTAACGATATTGTGTCGACCTACAACTAAAAAATAAACATTAAAAATATGTTGTTACAGACACTGTTTATGTATGTGTGTGCCTGCTGCAGGACATTGAGCAGRAGGGACCAAGAATGCAAATGGACACTCAAGACCTAACAGCCACACTAAATGCTATCCCCCCGACCACTCTCACTCTCCAGGCTCCATCCACCAAACCATATCCTTAAAGTCAGTCCTCCAACAACCTGGGCAGTTCCATGCCCCAGTGGCCTTGGAGTAGCTGACCTCTCTGCCTAGCYTCAAAGTCTTACCTCCTCTTTGCAGCCTGCAAAGGGTGGTTGAGGAGAAATGAGATGATCCCTTGAATGCCAGTTCTGGTGCTGGCACAGCTAGCTTTCAGGCCTCGGGAGCTATTGCAGGGTTATGTTCCCTTGGGACAACCACATTCCTAGGCACTTCACTCCCTCACTTGGTATTTTAACCTATGTGATTTCTATGTGAGGTTACTAGCTGCACAGCTTTCAAGTCCATCTGGGCTTGTGAATCCCTGGGGCACATGGAATACTAGTCATCTTTCATGTTTCAGTCTAGCACAGTGCCTGATTCATTCATTCACTCATTCATTAATGCAACAAGTACTTATWGTGATCCTTTTAGTGCTGGCTGGCATTGCTTCAATGTTGGCACAATGTAACCAAACAGTCTGCCCTGTGATAGCTAATAATCAAGCAAGGAAGTGACAGAGGACAAACATTAAATTTGAGTTTGTAAAAAGTGTCACAAAGGAAAATAAAACAGGGAAAGAGGGATAGGGAATGTCAGAAGGGGTGAGGGGCATAGAAGTTGTTGGGRTATTTTTTTGTATGTGTGCTGGAGATTGAACCCAGGGCTTTACAGTTAAGGACTCTACCACTGACCTACACTGCTATCCCTTTATTCTTTTTTTTTTTTTTTTCTATTACCAGGGATTGAACCAAGGAGCTG